TATTGCATTTGATGGAGTTGTTTGCATTCAATGGTGGTTCCAGTTCTTTGAAGCAAACGATGCAGAATTCGTTTTCCTCAGATGATTGATCAGACTTCTTCTTCGACGATGATTTCTTCGTCTTTTGTTTCGCATTTTTTTCCTTTTTTCCTTCGCAGTGAAAATACAAAATGATGATAGCCTCGATTTCTATTTTTTGGAATATTGGACGTCGTTCCAATTTGTAAAAAAAAACGAAATTTTAATTCTCAAAATGCAAAATACCCAACTTCTATTCCAACTTCGTCATTCATACTAGATTATAATTTGATATTCGTCATCTAAAATGGACATTCAGAAGCCAATAATGTATTGAGATAAACGAACACTCAATATATTGGGTCTGGGAATTAGTTTTGTCGATTTTTTTAAATTTTCAAACATTTATTTGAATACCAAAATGAAATTACATTTCAATCAAAATATTGTCCATCGGAAGCGATGACCTTCTGCCACAATGTGGGCAATTGACGGATGCCTGCCTTAAAAAATTCCTCATCTTTTGAGGCTATAAATGCATCGAGCTAATTTTGGATTTCTTCAACTGAAGAGAACCGCTCTCCGTCCATATGGTTTTGCATCGATCGAAACAAATGGTAGTCGGAAGGAGCCAGGTCTGGGCTATACGGGGCGTGAGCCAAAACTTCCCATCCGCTATTTTCCAAGTAGTTTTTGACCGATTTCTCAATGTGTGGCCGAGCATTGTCATGTAGGAAAATCAATGCCTCTTTCCTGGTCTCCCATTTCGTGCGTTTTTCTTTGATTGCTTGTTTCAAACGTATCAATTGTTGTCGGTAGAAAGGCCCATCGATGGTTTGACTACTTCTCAGCAGCTCATAATACACCACTCCATCCTCATCCCACCAAATAGACAGCATTACCTTGTCGCCGTGAATTTCTTGTTTTGGCTGTGATGTTGCTGGTTGGCCGGGCTTAACATACGATGCTTTGCGCTTGGGGTTATCGTAATGAATCCATTTTTCGTCACCAGTGACAATTCGATACAGAAAACCTCTTTTTTTGTGCCTTGCGAGCAGCATTTCGCAAGTCACTAAACGCCATTCAGCTTGCGCTGGCGTCAATTCATGTGGTACCCAATTTGACAACTTGCGAATGAAACCAAGGGCCCTTAAACGATATCCAACAGTGCTTCGGTCAACATTCAATGCTCTGGCAAGCTCATCTTGAGTTTGACTCGAATCTTCATCGAGCAATGCCTCCAATTCCGCATCTTCAAACTTTTTTGGCTGGCCGGGACGTTCCTTGTCTTCCGTGCTAAAATCACCACTTTTGAACCGTGAAAACCACCGTTCACATGTACGTTCCGATGGAGCATGCTCACCATAGGCTTCCACCAACATTCGATGCGCTTCAGCCGCAGTTTTCTTCAAATGAAAGCAAAAAATTAATGCTTGCGGGAAATGTTGCTTTTTCGGTACAAAATTTGACATATTTAAGGCGCAAAAAAAAATGTTTATCCAAACTTCGATGAAATGATAGATGATGATTTTTGTAGTTTGACACTAGACCACTCATGTGAAAAAGAAAAAAGTATTGCCCGATACAACCATGCAAAGTTACGCCATCTTTTGAAAAATCGACACGATTAATTCCCAGACCCAATAGATAAGAAGGAGTTTTTTTGGCAAAATTGATACGGCGGAGTGCAATAACGAATATTCACCTTGATAAACGCTATGTGCACATCAGTCACAGTCGATTTGTTTCGGAAAAGAAATCGAAAGTTTTTAAATTCAAGTTTGGCGATGGAAATTGCAATCATTGGAGCGGGTGTGGTTGGATCAACCACGGCATTTCAATTGCTTGAACAATTTGGCAAAAGGATATCTGTAACTGTTTTTGCTGTCGAGTTTTCACCGTCCACAACCTCAGATGTTTCATCGGGATTATGGAGCCCACGAGGATTGAATGGCAGATCTCCTGAGAAAGTGTTGTAATAACCCAAAGGAAAAAGTGTTTTCATGAAGATATTGAAGCCGAATATCTTTTCAGGAAATGGTCAAAAGACATGCATGACTTCTTCGAAAAATTATGGAAGAGTGGTGAGGCAAATGAAGCTGGCGTGTCCCTGATATCAGTTACTCGAATAACCACTAACAATACACAACGTTACAACGATTTGTGGAGAGATGTGGTTTTTGATCATACGGATTTGGATCAAAAAGTAATTGAGCGTCTAAGCCAACAACACAAACGTAGTTATACGTAAGCAACGAAATTCACATCCAATCAGTATCTGTTTGAACTGGAGGAATAATTTGTATTTAATCGAATAATTTGTTCATATAAATTGACCCTTTAAATCCAGTTCTGGAATATATTTCACGACATTTACATGCGAGCCATCGCTTCTACTGCCCCATTTGTACAATCGTATTCAGGCAGCCGATGGTCGCATTGAACGCAAGCGAATTGAATCGTTCGAAGATTTGGACACTTTTGATCTAGTGATAAATTGTACCCGAATCGGAGCTCAGAAGCTAGTCAAAGATGACGCTGAATTGAAAGCAGTTCGGGGTCAAGTGATGCGAGTTGAAGCCCCATGGATCTTTGATGTTCTTCTTGATGACTCTGACAATAGCAATTATATTATTCCCAAGTAAGTGAAAAGTTGATATTCTATTTGGTTTCGGCGAGTATTTTTCGGATTCTTATTATTGAAACAAAAATGCTGCAGCATGAACACAGTGGTACTGGGTGGGACGCATCAAACAAATGACTACCGAAAGAAAGTAGATGCCAATGACCGTAGATTTATCTATAAAGGTTGTTCTAACCTGAATCCGTCCCTAAAACGTGCCGAAATATTCAGAGATATGGTTGGATTGCGACCGGGCCGAGATCAAGTGCGATTGGAACGTGATTTATTCATCACTAGTGAGTGTTATAATGATGATCAATCGTCTCGCATACTTGAAAATGTATATTTTGTATTTTCATCATGATTCGATGTGTTTCCCACTCCAGAGCGCGGTAAACAGCTGCAAATGATTCATAATTACGGGCATGGAGGCAGCGGAGTGACGCTATCGTATGGCTGTGCGATTAACGTCGCTGACATTGTCAATGCGATTATGATGGCAGATACAAACAAGCGCAAAAGTATATTATGAAAATAATCCAAAACACTTCAGATAAACCGAAAATAATTGCACCTTATCTATACTTTCGAATTTCTATATAATTATCAATGTTTCTTTATTTGAAATCTCCGTTTTTTTTGTTACATGATATAGAGTATTTTTTGAGCACTAATGCGGCGCCCTCACAGACTTTTAAAATAAATTGTTTATACAAAAAGAAAATCATAACAAATATCAGTTAACAAAAGATTCGAATGGGTGGCGACTCTTGCTTTTTGATAATGTTTCTATGCGTTTCAACTAAACGTTACGTTATATTAAATACATTGCAATCAATATGTATTCTTTGATTTGTTTGTGTTGCTGATTCCCTTTTACATGGATACATTTTTTTGTTTTTCTTTCGTTCTTGTTTCGAATGAATGCGAAATTTGTGCGAAACAAAGATAGAGCTATTAACATTTAAAAAAAAGATTCAACTATAATTAAACTTAGTGTATGAGTCAATAACCAAAGGAAAACGAATTGCAAAAAAAGTGGAAATAAATTGTTGCATGACTATGACTTCTTTGTTCGAAGCGGTTTGTTCCTTATTTTTTTGTTTTTTGTTTTTTTTTAATTCAAATTATTTTGAATGATGACAATGAGAGCTATTACTGTAGACAGGCTTGAATCTTTTCAATCCACTCTTGTGCACTGCTCGCATCAATAGCGTAGAAATTATATGTTCGTCGACTGGTTTTCAACTGGAAAAAAAGAAGACGACAATTCAACACGGATAAAAATGGTTCATGTGTCTCAAGAGATGTGTATGTACTCTTATGAAGAGTCATTATTATGCTATTAATAAAGAACTTACGTCGAAGAAGGCTCGTTCGTCAATTTTTTTCGTACCAACTTGCACGGGAGATGCACTCGCTACCGACTGAACCTCAGCCAAATCTGCGGGAAAAGTGGAACACCATTATGGAAATAAAACCAACGCTAGACGAAACTTTTAGCTATATATACACACCGATAAATCCTTTGCAGTTGGAGTCTTCCATTGCGTCATAGTATCGCAGTTGATGTTTCATCGAATCAAGAACAAACCATCGTTGTTTCCATCCCTTGAGCAATGCGCCACGCTTGTACAAATGCCTGCAAATCGGATCAAAACAATTGTGAATTTTCTCTCCGTACTCCGGTAATCTAATTATGATTATCAATTTATTATTCATTACCCTTCGTGTGTTCGATGTTCGGGCACATTGCTATCGAATTCATTGAATAGATGTTGATTGGATGCTGGACCGGTGGTTGCGCTCGATGCAATGCTTCCGTTGTCGCCCTGATGAGATCGAATCATTGCCGGTTGACCACTGTCCACCGCTTTGTATTTCGTACAATTTTTCGGCACCGAATCGGCGCACTTGTCATGATATGAATTTCCACAGTCCATGCATCTGGCGAAGAGAAATCGAATTTGATATTTTGTTATTTTTCTTTTAAAAATCCTTCAAAAAAATTTTGATTTCCATTTAAATTGATCTTTTTTCTTTGGCGAAAAAATTGAATTTTCCGACTTAAATGCTAAATTGGGTCGCAATTCACGCAAAAATAGTGAATTGTCGGGGATAGGTAACTTGGCCGCCTAACTTTTAACCGCCGACGGAAA